CTGGGCTAATGACACCCTGTGCCATTTCCTGGTCTCTCTTCTGAACCGCCTGGCTTGTTAGTGTGACCTCGTGTAACCACTGGGCTCTACGGTCACGGTAGCGAGCCCCAGCAGCCGGGCCTTTCCTCTTCTCCGTTCTGCAGATGGATCTGCAGGAGCAGACCAGACCCACTTTCTTCCATGGCCAAACCGTTCTCCGACTTAGCAATTTTCTCACAGACTCCGGCTGGAGGGGACCTCGAGAAGTCATCAAGTCCAGCCCCCAGCGCTGAGGCAGGACCAAGTAACCCTAGACCAGCCCTGACAGGTGTTTGTCCAGCCTCGTCTGAAAACCCTCCAGCGTCGGGGCTTCCACCACTTCCCTGGGAAGCCGATTCTGCAGCCTGCTGCCCTGTGCGTTTGTCCTAATATCCAACCTAAATTGCCCTGTTTAGATTAAGCCCATTACTGCTTCTCCTGTCCTCAGGGGATGTGGAGAACAACTGATCGCTCACTGGCCTCTTTAGAACAGCCCTTCACAGATTTGAAGGCTTATTAGGCCCCCCTTCAGTCTACTTTCCTTAACTCTGAGTTTAACCTTCCCCCGCCGGTCACATCAAGAAAGAAACGGACAAATTAAAAGATCGCCTTAAAAAAACCCACTATTTTTTGTACCTTGCAGAACGAAAGGATTAATTGTGATGATTGAATGTTTGTGTTAAGAACATAGGAACGGCCAGACTGGGTCAGACCCAAGGTCCATCCAGCCCAGTGTCCTGTCTGCCGACAGTGGCCAGGGCCAGGTTGCCCCAGAGGGAATGAACAGGACAGGGAATCATCCAGTGATCCATCCCCTGTCGCCCCTGGCGCTTCCAGCCCTGTGGTTCGAGCCACTACAATGATGCACCCAGGGTTCAAAAAGTATTTCCGTTTGCATAATCCAGCTCTGTTATTTCTGAGGCCACAGCACCGAGAGGCAGCTGCCGAGCTCTGGGCCCCACGGTGTGCGAGGTGCGGCTCAGACGCATCACAAGAGACAGACCCTGCCCTGCAGAAGTCTGCCTGGCGATTTACTTTTTGCATTGCGCTCCGGTGGAGCTGGTTAGGAAATGTGGGTGGAAAAATCTTGAGCCAAAATATTTCAGCCCGGGAAGTGAAATGTTTAGACAGCCAAATGCTGGTGCAGTGCCTCATGGGAGTTGTAGTTTGGGGTGGGCTCCTTGGTTGGACTGCATCTCCCCTGCTGGGAATGCTGCGGTGTGGCCGAGAGGGCTCCCCACGGAGAGGACCAGAGCCCTACGACTGGAGGCAGCTACTGCAGATCTCCTTTAGCTAGCTGAAGGACCAGGCGTATGTGGAATTGCCTCATGGCTTTGTCCGCAGCACCTGGAGCCCCCCTCTCTTCAGCTAGGCGAGGTGCAGGCTACCATGGCTCTGCTAGGAAGCAGCATCTGAGGCCAGACGCTGGTGACTGGGAACCAGGACTCCTGGGTTCTAGTCCCTGCCCTGCCACCCATTTGCCTACTCCGTGTCTTGCGGCGGGGGCTTCCCTTAGAATCACAGAATCTCAGGGTCGGAAGGGACCCCAGGAGGTGTCTAGTCCAACCCCCTGCTCGAAGCAGGACCAATTCCCAGTTAAATCATCCCAGCCAGGGCTTTGTCAAGCCTGACCTTAAAAACCTCTAAGGAAGGAGATTCCACCACCTCCCTAGGTAACGCATTCCAGTGCTTCACCACCCTCCTAGTGAAGAAGTTTTTCCTAATATCCAACCTAAACCTCCCCACTGCAACTTGAGACCATTACTCCTTGTCCTGTCCTCTTTCACCACTGAGAATAGTCTAGAGCCATCCTCTCTGGAACCCCCTTTCAGGTAGTTGAAAGCAGCTATCAAATCCCCCCTCATTCTTCTCTTCTGCAGGCTAAACAATCCCAGCTCCCTCAGCCTCTCCTCATAACTCATGTGTTCCAGCCCCCTGATCATTTTTGTTGCCCTTCGCTGGACTCTCTCCAATTTATCCACATCCTTCTTGAAGTGTGGGGCCCAAAACTGGACACAGGACTCCAGATGAGGCCTCACCAATGTCGAATAGAGGGGAACGATCACGTCCCTCGATCTGCTCGCTATGCCCCTACTTATACATCCCAAAATGCCATTGGCCTTCTTGGCAACAAGGGCACACTGCTGACTCATATCCAGCTTCTCGTCCACTGTCACCCCTAGGTCCTTTTCCGCAGAACTGCTGCCTAGCCATTCGGTCCCTAGTCTGTAGCTGTGCATTGGGTTCTTCCGTCCTAAGTGCAGGACCCTGCACTTATCCTTATTAAACCTCATCAGATTTCTTTTGGCCCAATCCTCCAATTTGTCTAGGTCCTTCTGTATCCTATCCCTCCCCTCCAGCGTATCTACCACTCCTCCCAGTTTAGTATCATCCGCAATTAGTCTACGGTGCTGTCAGTTTCACCAGCCACATATTCTCACACACACAGACACAAAGCCATTAGGATATTTGAGGGCTCACCGGTGGAGCCTGCCAGTTCTCTTCTTCTACCGCAGCTCCTTTTAGGGGCTCCTCTCTTCACCAGCACAGCCCGTCCTGCCTTGATCTCGCGCTCTCTGGGCTGGAATGATTTTCTTAGGTGTAGCTGCTGCCTACCTTATACTCAAGCTAGCAAAGAAAACGCAACACTGCCAAGGCAGGACAAACGCAAGGCATGGCACATTACACAAAGGGTTTACATGAAGTAATAATAAGTAATTGCCTGGAGCTGGCAGATCCCAGGTGATCTGAAACTGGGCAAAGGCCCAGAGAACAGGCTGTGGGAAATACACTGGGCAGGGCTGGAGGGCACCTGCTTGGGCTTTTCCCTGCAGCTGAGTGCAGCCGGGTTATTAGCACTCCGGGACCCCAGGGGAGGTCTCTGTTCTCAGCACTAATTGGAAGAGGAGCATCTCTGGGGGCTGCTAATTCACTTAGGCCTGAGTGCCAAGCGGCTGTACTGGGGATTGAGGAGATTTTGCCAGCTCCCAGATGCAGCTGTTAGCAATTAACCGTGCGCGCGGGGGGGGCTGCCTGCTCCGGAAAGCTGCGTACAGCTACGGACGCCAGGATGCTGTAGCCCGGATCGTGGGGGGCTGTGGGCCTTGGGGAGTGCTGAGCAGAGAAGGGGAATGCCAAGCCCTGTTTAACTCTGTCCCTGCTGCTTGCAGGTAGCCCCTTCTCCAGCCTCCTGCCACAGGTTCCTTGCCAAGCCCAGGGAGCCGGTTTAGCCATTGCACCTGATCCCATCACTCACCACTGGACAGGTGGTGCCCCCTGGTGTCTGCACTGCGCTTCCAAGCAGGGGGTGCAGTAATTCTAAGGGAACAGGAGCCCCTGGGCATCTGCTCAGGATCCCTGCCCTGCCTCTAGCTCCACCCTGGGTGGGACCTCCCAGCCCACCCCGCTGCCCTTCCACAGCCAGCCTGGAGAGCTGCTGCTTCCCGGGGTACCCTCAGGGAGACAAATCCACAGGTCTGGGCTCCCCAGCCTGAGCCCACCCCTCCACAGGACACACCTGGCTGCAATGCATGCTGGGACCTGTAGTCCCCTTAGTCCTCACCTCTTGATCTGCTCCAAAGGAGGCCGGACCCTAGGGTTCCCCCCCTGTTGCCCAGGGAGCACCCTGATCAGGCGGAGCCACCGGCCGCACCTTTGGGGCCGCAGGTTTGGTTAACCCCTCTGTTGCTGCACTGGAAGGCCCTGGGACCCTCAGAGTTGCACCGGTTTAATTCCACTGGGCGAGACCCCGGCCTGCTCCCGGGACGGGCGCAGCTGTACGAGGATAGCGGTGCTCCCACGTGCCAGGCTCACTCCCCTCGCTGGAAAGTCTCTGGTTGATTTCGCTCTGGACTCAGGCCGTCTGCGTCACAGAGCTCCACGAACTCCACGATACCCGAAGAGACGGGGGCCGAAGGCAGGTCGGGGCTGGGCCCTTGTTTGGGTCTATGAAGGGCTGGCAGGTTTGGGACTGGATCCAGCCCTGCGTCAGCCAATGGTTTTTAACAGTAGATGCTCAAGTGTCGCCCGCCCTGTGGCTGAGCAGGGAACGGGCGACTTTATGACATCCTGAGAGCGGGAGAGTGGAGCCATCGAAAGGGGATCTTTTTGCCTGACTGTTTCCAACGGGTGGGGTTTGCTTGCGATGGTGAACCCTAGTTAACTCCAATGCCTGACACACACTTGGGACACAGGTGATCTTTGGAAAAGATTCCACACCCCGCTGTCCGGCGCGTCACGCCGCTCCAAGCTGCCCTGCAAAATCAGACGTGATGCTCCTGGCGTTTCTGAGGGGAAAACCGAGCCGATCCCCTTGCCCCTGCTCTTTTCTTTAACCCTTTCAGGGCCCCTTCACGCGGCACGAAGCAGCAAAATCAGGAGCAAACACAATTTAACCAGTGCACTCCCTAGCAGGCGACTGTAACCATTGACTGCGGCAGCAGCTCAGCGAGAAGAGGGCTGGGTCCCTTTGGGTCTGGGAGTCCAGGGCTGGAGGGGGCGGCCCCATGCTCCAAACATCCGGGATGAAATTCCTAGCGTCACAGCCCTGCAGCCCCAACCCAGCCTTCCTCCATTGCAAGCAGATACGCTGATCTCCGTGCACTCTCCGGGGAGGGGACCTGTCAGGGGCGAGACCCTGACGCCCTTGTCTGTTCTGCTGGGCCACAGTCAACCCAGGGCATTTGCCAAAGTCCCCCCTGCTGTTGATTAGCATTGCTGCACTATGCCCGTTGTCCTCCACCCCAGAGGTGGCTGCATCCCAGGGTGCCCTGGGACGCGCTTTGGGATAGGAGGCGATGGGCACACGGAAAATGTTCCTATTCTGGGCTATGACCTGTGGCTGACCCTGAAGGGTGACAACGGACTCTTGCAGGGAGGCTCAGACCGAGGACCAGGCTGGCCAGTGGGGCTGGCTCGGTTCCAGGGGTGGCTCGTTTCTGCTCCCTCTGCGGGGCCTGCACCAGCCAATGACCAGACCCTCCTGTAGGAAACCCTTGAAATCAAGTTTATTCACAGAGCGGCACTTTCCCGGGACTTGAACTCCTTCTCCGTGAGTCTCCTTCCGGGATACTGCAGCTTTTACTCCAGTCACAGCTCCGGCCCCTCCCAGCCCATTCCCCGGACCCCAGCCAGCAAGGGCTACTCACAGTGGGATCCCCGGGGGGCTGAGTTACCTCCATGATCAGTGTGAACTTAGGGTCATTATTTCACGGGCAGGTCGGGATTGAGGGGCACCGGCAGCACTGGACGGGAGGAGGGGACCAGAGCTAGGATAGCAGGGGGTGCGGATCAGGATTGGGGAGCACCAGCGGGGCTGTGGCGGTGGGGGGTGATCACAGGTGCCCGCGAAGGTGCTGATTGGTCAGTGCTGCCCCCCACGCCCTGAGCTTGCTGAGAAGGGGAGATGCCCTGGGATGCTGCATGTCTGTCAGTCCGGGGGGGTAGCAGGGAGCCCAGCCCTGAACCCCGGCCCTGCCGGTGACGGTGACTGTGTGGCGATGGGTTCGTTCCCGCCTGGGACGGCGACAAATCCAGAGGCAGCCCAGGCCTGTGGCGCGAATGCCCGGCGGGTAGGGGCACGGCGCGTCACCGGGGCCCTGCCCAGCCCGGCGGGTCGGTGGAGGGGAGCCCGTAGGAGAACTGGCTGTGGTGTCCCCAGGCCAGGAAGTCAGCTCCGTGTGCAATGCAGCAAGTCCAGATCTATGGGGAGCGAGAGAGAAAGTGACTGAGCTGCTGATTGGGACAGAGCACTGGGTTGGGGGGGACAGAGCAGCCTGGGGGTGTTGAAGCAAGGGGGGGGAGAGGACCTCGTGACCCCCACTCGCTCTCTGCCCCAGATTCCAGCCTGCGCGGTGGGATCAGAGCCCCTGCCCTGAGCCACGCTCCAGAGAGAGACCAGGGCCTGGTACCAAGCCCACCACCGACTGGGGCCTGGGGGTCGGATAATGCGGCAGCTGGTTCTGATCCGCCCCAGGCTAGGGTCTGCCCGTCTCTGACCAGCCCCTGTCCCGCCTCTGCAGGCAGCAGGTGCTGCTGAAAACCCAGTGGGTGCGGGCAGGGGCTGCCCAATCTCGCTCTGATCACTGGGGCTGCGCTGTGAGGGGTCCCCCTCATTGTTCCCCTATCTGACCCGCAGTGGGGTCCCCTTTGGAGTCAGTCACTGGGGAGGGACACGAGGTGCAGGACTTGGCAGAGAACTCCCAGGGCGTGATCCCCCCAAGAGCTCACAATCACCCCCCGCCCAAGTACTCCCTCCCAGCCCAGGACGGGGTCCCCCAGCCCCAGAGCACAGGCCCCGCCCCCTGCTGCCCAGGGGCAGGCAAAGCGCTCCCAGCCGCCCTACCAGGTAGGCGGTGAAGGCCACGTAGCCGGCCAGCACGAAGGCCAGGGGGATGTAGTAGGCCATGCTGCCCAGCGTAGGGATGTAGATCACCACGAAGTAGAGGTTAATGGCGCAGATCAGCCCGGTGATGAGGATCATCAGCGCCTTCCCGACGCTGCGGAGACCAGAGCCCCGGTGAGCCCGGCCCGGCCCCCTCCCGACAGCTGCCTGGGTGGGGGTCCAACCTCTCTGACTCTGCACGGGCCGGCCCCGCTCCGCCCTGCCTCCGGCCCCGTGCAGGGGGGCGCAATGGCGCGGGAGGGTCTGACACGCGGCTGAGCCTGCCCGTGCGGGGCCGTGCGCCAGGGCACAGCTCCCACGCCCTGTGCTGCCAGCCCGGCCCTTGCAGGCCCACGCCCAGGGGGGCGCGGCGAGCCCATGGCAAGCACGGCCTGCCCACCTGCACCCACCTGCGACCCTCCCCCGCAACCCAGCCACGCAACTGGCTGAAGGATGCCCCTCCCCCAGGGCCTGAGGAACCCCAAATGCCTCCAAAGTTCTGGGGTCCTGCTGCTTGTTCATTTCAGCATTTGGGGGGATCTGGACGCTGGGCGCCCCGGGGAGGCTGCCTGCGCCCCAGCCATCAGCCCAGCGGGGAGGTGGGACCCCAGATACTCACACGCCGTTGGTGAACTCCTGCATGAGCGGCCGCATGCTGGTGAAGGTGAGAACCGGGAGAACGGCGAAGGGCAGCTGCAAGGCAGCGGGTCAGGGTGAGAGGGGAGGGGACTCTGCTCCCAGGTATCTGCCCCCGCCCCACCCCCCACTACCACGTCTGGCCCCCCCTTGCCTCCCCACCCGCCGAATCCGCTGTGCCCAAGGTCCAGGCCCAGCTCTCACCAGGATGCTCTGCAGCACATTGAGCAGGTCGTTCATCCCCGTCAGGTGGCTGACGTCCTTGAAGGCAGCGACGAAGACGGTGGGGAGGATGGCGAAGGAGCGGGTGAAGAGCACGCGGGCGAAGCGGGACCAGCGCAGCTGCAGGAACCCCTGGGGAGGGGACAAACGGGGACGCCCCGTCAGTGAGCGAGAACGACACCGGGCGCCTGACGCCGCAGGGTCACTGGTGGGGAGGAGGGCCCCGGAGCCTGATCTGCCCCTGCAATGGCCGGACTGGCAACGTCCAGAGATCAAAAACCAGGAGATTGGCTCCAAAACTCATGAGATTTTTCAAAGCAATTCTACTGCGTTTTTCCGAGCAGGGTCTTGACGTTTGGGCTCCCCCGAGCCCTCCCCAGGGCGTGGGCGTGGGACAACCTCCTGCCTGCTCTGGAGACCGTGATTTCTGGCCCTGGCTGCAGGAGCTCTGACTTCCCACCTCTGCCTGTCTCCTGCCCAGCCAATCATCCTGTCCCCTACCAGTTCTCTCCCCCCTCAACCCCGCTCAGTTCAGGCCCCCCTCACTTCAGCCCCCATCACCCCCACCACCTCAGTTCACCCTCCCAGCACTCACTCCTGTGCTAAGAACCCACCATCAATACAGCCCCCCGCCCCCCCTTGTCCCCCAGAGGACACTCCAGAGCCGGACGGCCCGATCCTGCAGGGCGGGGCGTGTCCTCCACTTCCGTTGCAGACTCTCGGGAATTAGAGTCTGCAACGGAAGTGGAGGACACGCCCCGCCCTGCAGGATCGGGCCGTCCGGCTCTGGAGTGTCCTCTGCTGAGTAGACACCCCCTGCCTTTGGCCCCCCCCAGCCCCAGGAGCTCAGCACAAAATCAAGAGCTTCCCTTCCCAAAGGCTCCTGCCCCCTGGTGGGGAGGCACGGCGCTGCACAAGGAGCAAAGCTGGGGTTCAAACACACGTTAACTAGGCTCCTCATCACCCGCAGGAGTCACCCCGCCCCGGGAAGGTGGGTTAAAGCACCCACTCGCAGCCCGCGTCCACACTGGGTTAGTGACCGGGTGAGCCAACCCGTGTTTCAAAGCACGCTCCATAGCCTGGGGATGGGTGGAGAATTTTGAAATTTTCGGTGTTTGTTCCTAATTGGAATGAAATCAAGTTTTGAAATCTCAAAATCTGCCACAAAATGGAATTCCTGTTCTCTGCCCAGCTCTAATTAATGTCAGTGGGGAGTGAGTTCCATAAATTAACCTCAGTAATCCTCTGCCCAGGTTAATATCATTAATAGCATGTGGCCATGAGTTCCATGGGTTGTCTATGCTGTCTCCCCATATCCAGTTGTTGTTACTCTCCCCCTAGCAGCTGTCACTGCAGATTCTGTTCCTCTTCCTGTAACTCAGGATTAAAAAGAAGAGGGTGTCTAACCCTGCTGAACCCCGCGCTGTCATATTTTTATGCTACTCAGCAGAAAGAGGCTGTTAAAAGTTTCCTCCTCCACTCCCTTCCGTGAGACCTGCTGAGCTAAGCAAAGCTGTAGAATCATGGCTTGCAAGGGCTCCGCAGAGGGCGCTTCAGTCTCGTGGTAGGACAGCAACGCCCGGGAGAAGGGAACATGCTGCCTCTGGGGTGGGGCGCCGCAGCAGCGAGCAACAACGTAGCCCACCAGGTGTGAAGAGGGAGGGTGACGGGCTGATGTCTCGAAGTGAAAGCGCAGCGGGAGTTTTAGGGAGGCAACCTGAGTTCTGCAGACTGCAATTTGCAGAAAGTTCCTGGGAATGGCAAGAGATCAGGGTCTTCCTTGCGCCCCACCTTTGCACCTTAGCGTTCCCGCCAGTCTACAGACACTTACAGCTGCTTGTCCTGGGGAAGGGGCTGAGGGGAAATGGAGCAAACTCCCGATAACCCCGCAGTGGTTTTTCCCCAGTGGAGCTGTGCCAGGCACCCGGCACCAAGCTGAGGAGTGTGGTATAAATGCCTGGATTAGGGGGAGAGAGACAGACTCCACTTCCAGCAAGTGCTTCCAATCTGCTTCCTTTCGGGGACAGCGAGCCGGCAGGCATGGGGGCATTTACTCTAGCTCCACCCAAGCTCCCAGAGCAGCCAGATGTTTCTGGTAAGAGGCTCAGCAGTGAAATAGTTAAACGGTGCGGTTGTTGGTGTCATTAGACTCCAGAGTCAACACCCCACTGGGCAGAAGGGGGCAGTTCACACCTGGCTCGGTGCCGTGATTGGACGCAGGCTCTCTGCAGACTCAGGCAGGCAGCAGGGTCACAGCTGCACGTTTCTCTTTGCAGCAATAAGGGCTGGAAACACCATTACACAAACCGAAGCGTAAATTGTGCAGAAGCCAATGGGCCTCTGGGGAAGCGCTGTTTCCCCCCCAGCCTCTCACCTCCATGACAAACTGCCCGGCGTAGGTCCCGGTCATGGTGGAACTCTGCCCTGCTGCCAGAATCCCGATGGCCCAGATATAGAGAGCAACAGCGCCGAAATAACATCCCAGAATGACGCCCTGAAGGGGGACAGAGCGGAGCCCGTGTTAGCACGGTCCAAAGAGGAACCCCAAGCCCTCCCCTGTGGGGATGGGGGGGGCGGGACCTGCTCCCGGCCTCTCCTACCCCAGGCTGGCAGGTCGGGGGAGCGGGAGGCTGCTCAGCTGTAACCCCTCGGTCCGGCTCTCAGCTGGAGGGGAGGTGGCAGGCCCTGGGCGTGATGGGCGGGGTGGGGTCTGAGTGTGTGGGTGTGTAAGGGGTGGGGGAAACAGAAAGGACCCTGATGACTCCAGCAGGGACCCGGGAGAGGATTGTGGGCACCTGAAGGCTGAGGCCGGTGCAGGGGGTGCTGCCAGACAAAGAGCCTGCCCTGGGAGACCAGAATGGGCAAACCCTCCCCCTCGCCCGTGGGGCTAAGGCTTTTCCTGTGCCACTGAGCCCCACGTGCCCCCTCCCCAGCAGCCCAGCCCCAGCTCCCGGGACAGGGGGGTGTCTGTGCCCCCGACTCACCCCTTGGTAGATGTCCACGGAGACCGTCTCGTTGTTCCTGGGGAAGATAGGGGCGTACTGGCTGACGCTGCTGTTGGCACAAACGTTGTACTGAAACACACGGGGCACGGGGCCACCGGTCAGGAGGCTGCCTGGCAAATGACCTCGCTGGGGTGGGGGCAAGGGGGAGGCACTGGCAGGGGGCAGGAGCAGGCCGGCCCTACAGCGGGCTGAGCAATCAGCTGACCACGCCTCCCCGCATCCCTGCCCTTAAGGCTGCCCGGGGCCAAGCGTGTGACAGCCATGCCCCCACGGCAGGACCAGCCCCACCTGCAAGAGTGCCTGTCAGATCCCGGGGCGGGTGGCCCCCATCGCTGCAGGGTGGGTGTGCTCCCTGCTGCCCTCTAGTGCACGCCATGAGTCCGACAGGTATCAGCTCCCCCTAGTGGCTGGGAAATGGGGTGGGGGGAGTTGCCCTGTTGGCTCCTGGGGTAGCGGCCTGGCTTTTTAGCGCGGAAGGTCGAGAGTTCTAGTCCCCAAGGGAGCTGGTGCTTGTAGTCGCTAGGGGCTCTCGTGGGGCAATAAGCTTTAAACTCAGCCGAGGATGATCACACAGCCTCTCGCAGGGCAGGGCACTGAGACAGAACCCCGGGGTTGCCGGCGGCTCAGCAGAGATGGTGGTGGGACCGGGGGCCTTGTGTAGGGGAGAAGGCCCCCCCCGCCCCCTGGTGACGGGTACTCACCACGTCCTGGTTGGTGCGGTGGTAGAAGGCCTGGCCGAAGACGGCCATGACGAAGAGGTTGATGAGGAAGGAGATGAAGAGGGCGATGCAGGACTCGATCAGGAAGTACTTGTTGGCCTCACTCACCGCCTGCCGCTCGGAGCGCGTCACTTCGCGGGTCTGGGCAGGGGCACACAGCAGGGGGCACCGTCATGCAGCTGGCTAGGCCGGGGCAGGGGGAAGCCGGGCTCAGCAGCCTGGGACAGGGCTATGGGCCCCCTGGGGAGCTCTGAGCCCATGGCGGGGAGGGCATGCTCAGATGGCTCATGGGACTATCATGGGACATGGTGTGGGGCGCAGCCTGGGGCTTGATGCCCCCACCCAACGGGGCGGAGGAGCCAAGCATCTGTCTCCTGTTCCCAGGGCACTGCCCCCAGTCCCACCCACTCTCCCACCTCCTGAGTATCCACCCTGTGGCCTCCCAGTCCTACGCTTCGCTCTCCTGCCCCGCTGCATCCCCACCCCAGCTGTAGCAGGGGCAGGGAGTGCAACAGCGCCCCCCTCTGGCAGGTCAAGGTATTGCACCCATGGCCTCCTAATGCCGCTGATGGCTGTGACTCCATGGTGCGCACACCAGACCCCCTGAGGACCACAGAAGCACCCCCCAGGACGAAGGGGGAAGACCGTTGATTGGCATCCATGGCAGGGACAGGCGCCCACCCCTGAGCCCTGACCTTGACCAGGGAGGAGTGGAGATAGATGTTGTGTGGCATGATGATCGCGCCCACGATGCCCACGGCCTGCAGCAGCTCCTCCCGTCCGCAGCCGCGGCAGTAGGGGAAGAATATGCCCTTCAGCACCTCCGTCTGGACAGGCCGTACCACCACGTACTGGGGACAGAGGAGGGGAGAGCGGGCTGCAGCCAGGTCCTGCACGGACACCAGGGACCCGCTGCGCTCGGTGGCACCTCACGGGCAGGCTGAGGTGAGGTTCCCACGGGGGCACTGCTGATGCTGCCCGTGCCAGGTCTCCCACAGAACAGCTCCAGTGAGCCTAACTCCGGCTCCACGACCCACTCTGCCCTTGCCGGCAATGCTAACGCTGGCCTGCCAGGCAAAGAGCCAGTGAGCGAGCAATCCCCTGAACAGCTCCCGTTGGGGCAGTCCCCCTCCCCAGCTCCATGACACAGGAATCCCCGCCGGGCCCGACGAGGTCACAGCACACGACCACAAGAATCCCCACCCCGCGCCGTGGGGGGCAAAGCACTACTACACGCCCTAGCCAGGGCGCAGGGCCGACGCCCCAAAGTCCACGGTCTCTAATGATCGCAAGCAGCCGAAAGGCAGCACCTCCCAGCACCCTCCCAAGGAAAAGCACCGGCTGCCAGTTCGTTCTCCCTGGAGGGGATGTTTCCCATCCAAATAGTGATCAGGCATCCCCCTGCTTAGCTTGTGAGACAAGCAAGGACCCCGGTCCAAGGAAGGGATTGCAGCTGATGCACCCCTATAAAAATATCTAAGTCCTGCACTGAGGGGCTGGTAGCTGCTATGTTTGGGAGCAGGCCTGTGGAGGTGGTACAAGGGCGGCCAACGCAAACTCCGGCCCGGGCGAGAGGAAAGACGCGCCCGTCTGCTCCCCCCACCCCAGCGCTTCCCAGAGCAGGCTCCAGCCGTGCCCAGTGCACTGAGATTTCTCTTTGGCCAGACGGGTCTGTGAGACCAGATAAGGGCTGCCCAAGTGGCCCCTCCGTAACACGGGCAGCTTGGATCCCCACCGCGGCACGCTCGCTGAGCACAAGGGCAAGTAGCCTAACCAGGTTTAAGAGGGAGCGTGAGAAACCTGTGAGCGGGATTAGCTGATGGGGTTGCCTGTGATAGCAGGGGACTGGACTCAGGAGGCACCTTCCAGTCGGATCTTCCTGTTCCCCCTCGGCCACAGGTGGCCTCTGTGGATTCTCAGCCTGTGGTCGTGGCCCGAGGCAGTTCTGTGGTGAGAACTCAGTGCCGTTCCTCCTCTGCCCGTATGCAAGGGCTGGGTAAGGCAGCGCTAAGCACAAAGGAGCGGGGAAATGTCTCTTTACCTCATAGCCAAAGGTCACTGCCATGATAGTGATCAGGAGACCGAAAAAGGCTTCCAGCTTCCGGAGACCTGGAGGGGAAATGGAGAACAGGGGAGCTCCACACTGCAGCCGGGCTCAGACAGGCAGCTCAAACCCAGCCCCTGGGACCAGGCCGCACGTTTGGCTTGGGGACAATCTCACAAACTCGGAGAGTCTGAGGCTGGAAGGGACCATTGTGAGCATCTCGTCTGACCTGCACCTCGCAGGCCGCAGAACCTTGCCCACCCACCCCTGTAACAGACCCCGGAGCTCTGGCTGAGTTACGGAGTCCTTAGAGCATGGCCCAAAGACTTCGAGTGACAGAGAATCCACCCTTTGCTCTAGTTCACACCAGCGAGTGACCCTGGCCCCATGCTGCAGGGGAAGGCGAACCCCCCACCCAGGGTCTCTGCCAATCTGACCTGGGGGGAATTTCCTTCCCAACCCCAAATCTGGCAATCAGTCAGACCCTGAGCATGTGGGCAAGACCCAGCAGCCAGACCCCTGGGAAAGAATTCTCTGTAGTGACTCAGGGCCCTCCCCATCCGGTGTCCCATCCCCGGCTGTTGGGGATACTTGCTGGTAGCAGTCGAAGATCGGCTACCTGCCATTGTAGGCAGTGTCATCATCCCAGCCCCTCCGTACACTTATCACACTCAGTCTTGAAGCCAATTAGTATTTTTGCCCCCACTGCTCCCCTTGGGAGGCTGTTCCAGAACCTGGAACAAACCTTGGTTACAAACCTTCCTCCAATTTCAAGCCAAAGCTTATTGATGGCCAGTTTATATCCAGGTGTTCTTGTGTCCACATTCGCACTTAAGTTAAATAACTCCTCTCCCTCCCTGTTATTTATCCCTCTGACTTATTTATAGAGATAGATCATCTCTCCCCTCAGCCTTCGCTTGGTCAGGCTAAACAAGCTGAGTTCTTTGAGTCTCCTCTCAAAAAGCAGGTTTTCCATTCCTCCGATCACCCTAAAAGCCCTGCTCTGTACCTGTTCCCGTTTGAAGTCATCTTTCTTAAACACGGGAGCCCAGAACTGCACACAGTATTCCAGATGAGTCTCACCAGTGCCTTGTATAATGGTACTAACCCTTCCCTGTGTCTACTGGAAATACCTCGCCTAGGATGGCATTAGCCTTTTCACAGCCTCATCACATTGGCAGCTCACAGTCATGCTGTGACTGACCAATACACCCAGGTCTTTCTGTGCCTCGGTCACGTCCAACTGATACCTCCCCCGCTTATAGCACAAATTACTGTTGTTAGTTCCTAAGTGCACAGCCTGGCACTTTGCACTGTTAAATTTCATCTAATTTCTATTACTCCAGTTTTCAAGCTGGTTCAGATCTTCCTGTATGATATTCTGGTCCCCTTCATACTGACAATACCACCCGACTTTGTGTCATCTGCAAATGTTATTAGCCCACTCCCACTTTTTGGGCCAAGGTCATTAATTAAAATCAGATTGGTCCCTAGACTGTCCTCTAGTAACCTCCCTCCAGCCCGTCAGTTCCTCTTGCAGCATGATCCATCATAGCTTGTGTGATGCAGGCCCATGGTTCCCAACATGGGCCACACTGTATCAGACCCACCTCTCTCCGTCCCCTGGCTCCCTCACTGCCGGCAGCCCCCACGGTGCAGATCTCACCGGGCCACCTGTGTCTCCCTTCCATCCTGCCGAGAAGTTGCCGCCCTCTGACTTGGGTCCTGGCTGGGTTGACGCCACGGAGGAGATGAAGCCACCCCCCCGGCAAGGAGCGCGGCGGGGAACTGAGTATTTTGTTAAGTGTTGAGTTGATTTTTAAGAAGTCCCAGGAGAGGCCAGGGCTACAGAGAGCAGCAAGCTGGGCAGATTGGTAGCCAAGAGAGGAGGCAGCTTCGCACTGGGAAAGGGAGCATGGAATGGACCAGCCTGGGAAAAGCCTCCTTGTTCTGCAGCTTCCTAACCAAACACCCTCCATCTAAACTGGGCAGGTGGCACCCGCAGCCCCCAGCCCCCAGCCCGGGATACAAAGAACTTACCGTATTTATCCAGGAAGAGGAAGACGAGGGTGTCGATGATGGTGATGAGGACTCCGCCCCACAGGGGGATGCTGCGGGGGGGGGAAATCAGAGGTTACTGCTATGACGAAGGCGGGGGAGGGTCATTCCTGACGCCGTCTCGTGCTGGACAAGCAGCCCCGTTGCTAGAGGAAGGTGCGGGGAGGGTTCGTCTCTGCTTGGGAAAGGCTGAGCTGCGCTTTCGCTTGCTGAGTGACTCTGTCTCCGGTGCACCAGCATTCAGGGAGCGCGACGCGCTGGGCTAAATCCAAGCCCCGGAGCTCCGGCGTTAAGAGCAGGTTGCAGAGGGACGCTGGCTTCGTAGAGCCTCAGGCCAGAAGGGGCCGTTGTGACCATCTAGTCTGACGTCCTGTAGGCCACAGGACTTTCCTGAATTCACTCCCGTTGGCGCAAGGGTGGATCTTTAGAAGCACACCCCATCCTGATTCACACCTGGCCAGCGATGGAGCCCAGGGGGCTCAGGACTTTGGGTAACAGGGCTACGCAGCTTTGGAGGGATCTGGCTGGAAGGCAGCCTGGTTTGACAGCAACTAAAATCTGTCTCTGGGTCCTGCTTCTAAACCCAGCCTAAAAACCACAGGCAGTCTCAGGAGAAGGCCCAGGACTGCCTGAGCCTAGAGCTGGAGTCTCCCAGTGCAAGCATGCGGGTGAGGAAAGCAGGCAAAGCCCAGCTCTGAGATATCTAGCTAATCCTGCCTCTCTTAGAACCAGCTGGTCCTGCATTTGGTCCCTGGGGTTAGGAATCAGCGCTGCTAACATGAGGATCCGGCATGCTACAGGGATCGTGTAACACGCTGGCTTGGTTTGTACCTGTGATGTCACCCACAGAGAGGATAAGGGACTCACTACTGCTGAAAGCTCAGGGAGTGCTCTTTTAGTTCAGGTCCCTGGGGTTCTAGGCCCGGCTTCCCTAGCACCCAGGAGTAATTGTGGGTGTTACCGTCCGGCCGAGAGGAGGCTGAAAGCAATGGCCGTCCCGATCACCTCCTGCATGTCGGAACCAATGATGGCGATCTCGATCATGATCCAGAGCAGCACGCGCGGTACCTGCAGCAAACAGGGCCAATGGCACAGTCAGGAACCCCGGCTGGCCGGCTCGGACTCCAGGCTGGGGCTTCACATAGCCAGGGACCTCAGAGCACTTTATCAAACCTTGCAACCCCCATGTGACCCATGTTACTACCCCCATGTTACAGATTGGGAAACTGAGGCACAGAGACATGCCCCGTGCCATGCATAGAGCTGGGAATAGAACCCAGGAGTTCTGGCTCCCAGTTCTAACAACACACCTGCCCCCTCCGAGCTGACAATAGACCCAGAAGTCCCCAGTCCCAGTCTCCCCTACTAGACCCCTGCCCAGAGCTGTGAACAGAACCCAGGAGTCCTGATTGCAAGTCTGCTGCTCTAACCACAAGCCCACAGTTCTCCTTGCAGCTGGCTGCTCTTTTGCTACAAGTAGTGATAGTAGGAGGGATGGGTCAGGTCTGATTTTCTGGGGGTTTGGGGATCATTAAAAAGTCACTGGTGAGGCCTCATGACAACCCCCCTCTCCTCTGGGGTATAATATACGGTTGGATTCCTCACCCCTGATTGCAGAGAGCTCTGATGGGGGAACAGCCTCCCGCTTCCTAAAGGGCTTGTCTGCTCCTGCCGTTCATTTGAGCTACCCGGGAGCTTAGCGAGGTAACCATATACTCCACTTGACGCTAACCCCACACTCTGGTCAGCCCTCCCCTCGGGAAGAACCTGGCGTGGGCTCGCTCTGCGTCTCAGAGCCCCAGGGCTGTTTGCCCGGGGTTAATTAGGATTCTCTCTAGCCACATGTCTTATGGGCTCAGTGTGACCTTAAAGTTTGTAGAATTCTCTAGGGAATGATCCCCACGTTCATTGAACGGGCTGGGCTAGCAGGGGGCTGCGGGTCGGGACTGAGGGGCATCACCAGAGCCCACACAGAGTGTGTGTGTGTTTGTAAAGCACCGTCCTGCACTGTAGCTGGTTGTGTCCAATCCCACCAGCCCCACCCTTTCCAGTGACCCCAAATCCACCCAAGGGTTGAAAAACCCAACGCAGCCATTTGATGCTGCAAAGCCGGGCACGAATCTGAGCTGCGGGGCTGGCGACCGAGGCCAGAGGAACCCAGACAAATGGCTGCAGCCTCCTCCTGGGCTCGCTGAACTCCTGTCTCGCCGGCCAGCATGCCCGGGACAATGTCAGCAGCCTGGGGGCTCTCCCTGCAGCCCAGCCCGGGCTCGCTGCTCTCCGGACCTCGGTGGCCAAAGCTCCCCGCCATCCGCCCCTGCGGGGTGAGGCTTCCGGCTGCGACCCGCGGCGCCCGCCCGGGGCCTGGGCACTCACCTTTGGGTAGTACTGATAGCAGACCTCGCCCAGGTCCATTCCCGTGACGACACCCAGCCTGATAGCCAGCCGCTGGCACAGCAGCCCCAGGATGGTGGCCCAGAGCAGCACCCACAGCAGCTAGAGCAATGGAGGGGCAGGCTGTTGGAGGGCAGAGCGGGCACGCGCAGAGCCTCTCAGCAGGGGCTCCAGGAGCCAGCCCAGCCCAGGAGAGATCAGGAGACAGAAGCTACAGACCCAGCAAAGCGCCGGCGGCTTCACCTAAACACACCAGCCCTGGTCTTGTCCCCAGGGGAGTCGGTGGTAAAACTCCCAATGACTTCACTGGGGCAGGCCCACTGCCTGCAGGCTGAATGACTCTGGGTCAGCGAGGGATAGCCTGGCCCAGTGCTTCTCAACCAGGGGTCCGGGCCCCCCTAGGGGGCCTCGAGCAGGTTTCAGGGGGGCCGCCAAGCAGGGCCAGCGTTAGACTCGCTGGGGCCCAGGGCAGAAAGCCGCAGCCCCACTGCCTGGGGCTGAAGCCGAAGCCAGAGCAATGTGGCTTTGTGGGGACCCCTGTAGCGTGGGGCCCCAAGCAACTGCCCTGCTTGCTACCCTCTAACACCGGCCCCAGCTTGTGTATGCAGAAAACTAGTTATTGGGGCACAGGGGGGCCGTGGAGATTTTATAGCATGCCGGGGAGGTTAAGAAAGAAAAATGTTGAGAACCTCTGGCCTAGGGGTCTGGGAAGGTCCCCTCCATACCCCAGACAGGACTTTGAACCCACCGCAGTAGAGCCAGACCCCAGGGAACCCACACCAGAGCCAGCGTGAGCGGAGAGGGGGGAGCTGGGGCTGTGGCCTCAGTTGTGTGGGGCGGCTGGGTGTGCGGCATACACCTGCTACCTCGTTACCTTAATGATCGGTGCTTGCTGGGGGGCTATTGTGGTCGAGCCTGCAAACCCCAGACCTGGGATCATGGCCCCGTAGTGCAAGGCGCGGTACACACCTGTCCCAAGGCGCTGGGAGCCCCAGGGTGGTACTGACGGACGCGCCCCCGGGGCGGAGCGGCGCCGGCCAGCTGCCAGGAGGCTGACACGTGCTTCGGCCGCCAGACACATGGTGCCTACGGTATGGCAAGCTTGGCCCATCCGCCAGCCTGGCACATCCCCTACCCCGTGAGCCGTGCTGGGAGCCCGGTGCCTGCAGGCAGCCAATGGAGGATGCTCTCCCGGTCGCCCGCCATGACCCGGCCTGGTGCTGTTAGTGGCCGGGAGCCATCTCGGAGGAGCATTACACAAGGCTGCTCTTCCTGGCTGAGGTCGGCACGGGTGTCACTGGGGAACGCCCCCCCCCGCTCACCTTGAACCCAGCGACGGCCCCACACTGCAGGTCTGACTCGATGTTCCCCGGGTCCAGAAAGGCAATGCTCATGAGGAACCCAGGGCCGGTGAAAGCCCACAGCTTCCGGAAGCTGAAGCCGGGCTGTGAAGGGAAAGTTGCATCGGGGGTTAGGGCAGAGGGGAAGCAGCCATCATGAGCCCCCTGTCCTGGCTTCCCCACTGCTCAGCATAGGGGAGGCACAGCTCCGAAGGGCCAATCCCTCTAGGCGCCCCGACGGCAGGGTTGGAATGCGCCGGCATGTGCCACGCTGGGCGACGGGCACTTTGCAAAGCCGCATGTGCCCAGATCTCCGCAGCTCGAAGTGCAGAGGAAGAGACCAGGCTGGGGTGGCGGGGCTGGGGAGGGGCAGGCGTGGAATGATGGGATACGCAGGCCTGTTGAGTGACACCTGAGGGCAGCATCCTGCCACATCCCCCACCCCAGCCACTGGTCCCACAACGCTCCCTGCACCACACCTGGGGCTTTGGCCAAGGGAATTGGCCTCAGAGCCGTCCCTGAATAGCCCACTGCCGGAGCTGGCCTGTGGGGGTTGCCGTGACCAGTGTGAGCCCCACGCCCGGCATCAGACAGGTTCTGTTCCCAGTGCACCATCATACGCGCAGCCGTGTAGCCGCTCCTCTAACTCAGCTGGCAGGGCCTTTTGCTTTGGGGACTGGCGACCGGGGGTTCGATCCCCACTGCCGCTCGGTGGTGTCTGTGGGGTGGTCCGTGTTACAGCAGCTTGGCTGACGGATTAATTCTTCCATTGCCCAAGCTGTGCCCGCAAGGGGGGTTAGGGCGAGCTAAGGATGTCACACAGGGCGTGACATTTTTCACAGCCTGAGCAGGGTGGAGGCCAGGCCTGTGTGTGGCCCCCATGTGTCACATCAACCCCTGCTTCCTTTTCCCCGACCCATGAGTTCCTTCCATCCCTTCTAGCGCAGGAAGGGCCTGCCCCCTCACCTCCTGGCTCCCAGTTCCTCTTTCTTAACCCTGGCAGCGCTGTCCTTGGCTGAGGTCAGCATCTCTCTGGTCTCGTGTCTCTCACTTTCTCTGATTTACGAAATGGTGCGGGCCGGAGGGTCTCTATCCCCGACCAGAGGGTGGGGATTGGACCAGCCTGGCCGTGTCCAGGCCATCAGCATTACGGTCTCTAGGCAAAGGCAGCCCCAACTCTTGGCACCAAGGGGAGATCGGCCCCTGGACACATGCCCCCACCCCCGTCAGAGGGCAGGAGAGGCAGCTGCCCTGAGTCAACTGCCACGGCAAAGCTCTCCCCAGCGACCCCCTGGTACCTGCCTCTGGTGCCCACTGGGCACTCAAGCGGAGCTGAGCGATGGCCATGGGGGCTGGCTCTCCCATAAAGACACAGGAGCCCACCCTACTGCCATGCTCAGTGGGCTGTGGGGCGCAGGGAGTGGGACAAGACTAAGGGGTCTGATGGGAAAACCCCAGGTCCCCCCCACAGAGAGTTACTCCCCATCCCAGCCTCAGCCCCCACTGGGCTGATAGGATACGTCAGTGCCGTCTAGCATGGCAATGGGGCAGGCTCCCCTCCACCTTGCGGGGGCAAACTCAGTCTAGCGGGAGACAAGAGATCACTGCCGAGGGCCCATTTGGTCCTGGTCCTCTCTGCTGGGCCTGCCAGCCAGGAGGCTCATAGGTGCTGACTCCATGGGTGCTCCGGGGCTGGAGCACCCATGGGAAAGAATAGTGGGTGCTCAGCACCCACCAGGCATCCGCAGATCAGCTGTTCAGCGGCAGGCAGCAGGCACTGGGGGGAGGGGGCGGAGCGGGAGTGGGAAGAGGTGGAGCCTGTGGGGGGGAGCAGGGACAGGAAGAGGTGGAGTGAGGGTGGGGCCTGGGGGGGCGGAGCAGGGGCAGGAAGAGGTGGAGTGGGGGTGAGGTCTGGGGGGGCGGAGTGCGGGGCAGGAAGAGGTGGAGTGAGGGTAGGGCAGTGGGGGAGGGGGCGGAGCGGGGGCAGGAAGAAGTGGAGTGAGGGTGGGGCCTGGGGTGGGGCGGACTGGGGGCAGAAAGAGGTGGAGGGGGGGTGGGGCCGTGGGGGGTGGTGCGGAGCGGGGGCAGGAAGAGGTGGAGTGGGGGTGTGGTCTGGGGGGGGCAGAGTGGGGGGCAGGAAGAGGTGAGTGAGGGTAGGGCAGTGGGGGAGGGGGCGGAGTGGGGCAGGAAGAGGTGGAGTGAGGGTGGGGCCGTGGGGGTGGTGCGGAGTGGGGCAGAAAGAGGTGGAGTGAGGGTGGGGCCTGGGGCGGGGCGGCCTGGAGGCAGAAAGAGGTGGAGTGGGGGTGGGGCCTGGGGTGGGGTGGGGTGGGGCGGAGCGGGGGGGCAGGAAGAGGTGGAGTGGGGGTGAGGTCTGGGGGGCGGAGCGGGGGCAGGAAGAGGTGGAGTGGGGGTGGGGCCATGGGGGGTGGTGCGGAGTGGGGGCAGGAAGAGGTGGAGTGAGGGTGGGGCCTGGGGGTGGGGCGGGGCGGGGCGGGGGACAGGAAGAGGTGGAGTGAGGGTGGGGCCTGGGGCGGGGCGGCCTGGAGGCAGGAAGAGGTGGAGTGAGGGTGGGGCCTGGGGTGGGGCGGGGCGGGGTGGGGGACAGGAAGAGGTGGAGTGAGGGTGGGGCATGGGGCGGGGTGGCCTGGAGGCAGGAAGAGGTGGAGTGAAGGTGGGGCCTGGGGTGGGGTGGCCTGGAGGCAGAAAGAGGTGGAGTGGGGGTGGGGCCGTGGGCCTGGGGTGAGGTGGGGCGGAGCGGGGGGGCAGGAAGAGGTGGAGTGGGGGTGAGGTCTGGGGGGGCGGAGCGGGGGCAGGAAGAGGTGGAGTGAGGGTGGGGCCTGGGGTGGGGCGGGGCGGGGGACAGGAAGAGGTGGAGTGAGGGTGGGGCCGTGGGGTTGGTGCGGAGCGGGGACAAGGCCTCGGGGCAAAGCGGAGGAGTGAAAGCACCCCCCCGGAGGAAAGAAGAAAGTCGGCGCCCATTAGGAGGCTGGTTAATTCCCTCTGAGATTTGGAAACTTAGCCACTAGGAACTGGTGTGAACCCCCCTCGCCCCTCAGCTCATGTCACCCCGGACAGCAGCACCTGGTGATGGGTGCCGTGCCAGGACTCGGGGAGAACTCTCCCTGACCACCACCCTGGCCGGGATTGGAGCCCCTGCCTGAGAGGTCAGCCCACCTCCAGGCCCTGAGCCATAAGCTCCCCCAGAGATGGGCCAAGCCAGCAAACCCAGGATTCAACCCCCACTTTGCTTTGCAGGGGTTGAAACCAGGATCTTAGTCCCCATCCACATTCTGCATGTTGAGCCCAGCTCCAGTCCCTGGCTGGGGTTTGTAACGGTGATCGGCAAAGGGAGAATATTGGGACAGGCCCACTGATGATGGATGACAAAAGCTTGAAAGAGATTTTTTTAAATGTTTTTTTCTGCTTATTTTTTTAACCACAGAAAATACCAGGCATGTCAGCTCCTGTCTTCCCTGCATTTTGACGGCAAATTCTTTGGAAACCCAGAGACATGCAGCGGGAGGCCTTACCTGAAAGAGGCCGGGCTGTTAAGCCTTTCACACGGACAGCCTTTCTCCTAACCATCCTCAAGGCATTTGAGTTCAAAGAAAACAGAGCACTAAACAGTCTGAACAAGACTCACTTCCCCTCCCAGCTAAGCGGGTTTCACTTCTGCACGGTGTGCGCTGTCCCAACCCCGCTGGTGCGCCGGGCTCCCCGGAAACACAGTGAAGCCACAAAGCCTGAATTTGTAATGCCAAGAGCTCCCTTCCTTTTAAAAACCCAGAACAAGAGCCACCCTTGCCCCAGTTCTCAGCACTGCAGGTCACCATCCCAGTGCAGCCTCTCATGGGTATGTAGCAAAAACACTGCGTGGGTCTGTTCTCACGAGCATCCCGCTTGGAAGAACCAGAATGAAACTTCTTCTATTTTGCCTTTCTGGTGTTGGAGAAAAGCCCTGGTGGCTCGGCTCAGACGGGAATCACAGGCCAATAGGCTGCCCTGGTCTCCCCTGTGCCCGGAAACCCCCACTCACCCACCGCAGAGGGGCTTTGGGGTCCGTGGATGTCAGTGGGGACACAGCGGAGGGACCACGGGAAAGCCAGCGAGGGGAGGCGGTGTGTTCTAATGGCAAATGCGTCAATGCAGGCAGCAGGAGACCTAGGGGCTAGTCCTGCTTTTGACTTGCTGGGTGACCTTGGGCCGGTCACCGCAGAGCGCTGTGCCTCAGTTTCCCCATCTGTAAAGTGAGGATAATGCCACTCGCCATGCAGTGCTGAGAGGTAAAAAACGCTATTGAAGAAGTGCAGATGATTATTATTAGTGACCAGGCCAGCTCTACCTCACTGTTACAGAGCTCAGCACTTCCACGAGGAGCTGTCCATCCAGAGATCTCAGAGCACTGCAGCAAAGAAAGCCAACAGCATGAGCCCCTGTGTACAGTAGGGGAAACTGAGGCCTGGAGCCAGGCTGTGACTGGCCCACAATAAAATAGAACCCAGGCATCCTGATGACCAGCCTGGTGCCCTATGGACTGGCCCAGTCTGCCTCCCCACTTCCAGTGCCTGCTATGCTTGTGGCAGTGGGGAGATCAGTCCTCCGTGCCGAGACATGGGTGGGACCTACCCCTCCCACATCCGGGATGGCGATCTTCTCATCCAGGTACGTCTGATCCCGGCGTGGCTGCGATTCTGGGGGTCCCATTGTGCTGTAGTTCTGGCCCCTCTGATTCCGCTGCTGGGACCTCCTGCTGCCTGGGGAAGCCAAGCCAAAGGAAAATCAACGAACATGTCCATTTCGCTCCAGCATCCTCCCGGGAAGGCATAACTTGCCCCCCCCCATCCCCACCCTGAAATATTGGAGGGTGCCCCCAGAAATCCTCTCACCTGATATGGACAACTGCACTCACCCCGCAGCTGTGGCTCGGCTCCTCCGCTGTGGGGCTGGGCCCAGCTCCCCGTGCTGGGCGTCGTAACCTGGTGCGTGGGGTCACAGCGCCCTCAGGTTTGGCCTGGCAGGGGAGCACAATGTGACCCCGCATGCTGGATCACATTGGTTTGGGGTCCTTCTCAAATAGGCAGCCCGGGGCAAACTGCTCCTTTCGCCCCCCACTCTGAGCAGCCCTGCCCCCTCCATGGCACCCCCGCCAATGGGATGCAAACGCATTGGCGGTAACGTGCATATGACTGCAGGCACCTCTGGGTCCCCCTACCTGTATCTTGCGCCTCAACTTCCAGCAGCTTCCCAGGGGTGCCAGGGCAAGGAGAAATCAGTACACTGCTATTCCGTCACCTTGGTAACCAATAACCGGCTCCTGATGTCCAGCCGCAGAAGGCTGGTCCAGGCAGGCAGAGCTACTGTGGCTGACTCACTCTGGTGTCGGCTCATGTGGGGCCCACTAGCATCAACCCGGGGGTACAGCAGGGGTTGGGGACTCTCTCTGCGCCAGAGGGAACTAGGGGCTTGCACCAGGGGGCTCCTTCAGGGAACTCCCTAGGAACAAGCCATAAGGCTTAAAAAAATGTTTTTTAAGTACATCAGAAGCAGGAAGCCTGCTAAACAACCAGTGGGGCCCCTGGACGATCGCAATACAAAAAGAGCACTTAAAGACGATAAAGGCAACGCCGAGAAACTAAATGAATTCTTTGCTTCAGTCTTCACGGCTGAGGATGTGAGGGAGTTTCCCAAACCTGAGCCGTCTTTTGTAGGTGACAAATCTGAGGAATTGTCACAGACTGAAGTGTCACTAGAGGAGGTTTTGGAATTAATTGAGAAACTGAACAGTACCAAGTCACCGGGACCCGATGGCATTCGCCCACGAGTTCCGAAAGAACTCCAATGTGAGATTGCGGAACTGTTAACTATGGTTTGTAACCTGTCCTTTAAATCAGCTACTGTACCCAATGACTGGAAGATAGCTAATGTTACGCCAATATTTAAGAAGGGCTCTAGAGGTGATCCTGGCAATTACAGACCGGTAAGTCTAACGTCAGTATCGGGCAAATTAGTTGAAACAATAGTAAAGAATAAAATTGTCAGACACATAGAAGAGCATAAATTGTTGCACAAAAATAACATGGTTTCTGCAAAGGGAGATCATGTCTTACTAATTGATTAGAGTTCTTTGAGGGGGTCAACAAACATGTGGACAAGGGGGATCCAGTGGACATAGTGTTCTTAGATTTCCAGAAAGCCTTTGACAAGGCCCCTCACCAAAGGCTCTTATGTAAATTAAGTTGTCATGGGATAAGAGGGAAGGTCCTTTCATGGACTGAGAACTGGTTAAAAGACAGGGAACAAAGGGTAGGAATAAATGGTAAATTTTCAGAATGCAGAGAGGTAACTAGTGGTGTTCCCCAAGGGTCAGTCCTATTCAACCTATTCATAAATGAGCTGGAGAAAGGGGTAAACAGCGAGGTGGCAAAGTTTGCAGCCGATACTAAACTGCTCAAGATAGTTAAGACCAAAGCAGACCGTGAAGAACTTCAAAAAGATCTCACAAAACTAAGTGATTGGGCAACAAAATGGCAAATGAAATTTAATGTGGATAAATGTCAAGTAATGCACATTGGAAAAAATAACCTCAACTATACATACAATATGATGAGGGCTAATTTAGCTACAACTAATCAGGAAAGAGATCTTGGAGTCATCGTGGATAGTTCTCTGAAGAAATCCAAGCAGTGTGCAGCGGCAGTCAAAAAAGCAAACGGGATGTTAGGAATCATTACAAAAGGGATAGAGAATAAGACGGAGAATATCTTATTGCCCTTAGAATCATAGAATATCACGGTTGGAAGGGACCTCAGGAGGTCATCTAGTCCCACCCCCTGCTCAAAGCAGGACCAATCCCCAACTAAATTATCCCAGCCAGGGCTTTGTCAAGCCGGGCCTTAAAAACTTTGAAGGAAGGAGATCCCACCACCTCCCCAGATAACCCATTCCAGTGCTTCACCACCCTCCTAGTGAAATAGTTTTTCTTAATATCCAACCTAGACCTCCCCCACTGCAACTTGAGACCATTGCTCCTTGTTCTGTCATCTGCCACCACTGAGAACAGTCTAGATCCATCCTCTTTGGAACCCCCTTTCAGGTAGTTGAAAGCAGCTACCAAATCCTCCCTCATTCTTCTCTTCTGAAGACTAAACATCCCCAGTTCCCTCAGCCTCTCCTCATAAGTCACATGCTCCAGGCCCCTAATCATTTTTGTCGCCCTCCGCTGGACTCTTTCCATTTTTTCCACATCCTTCTTGTAGTGTGGGGCCCAAAACTGGACACAGTACTCCAGATGAGGCCTCACCAATGTCGAATAGAGGGGGACGATCACGTCCCTCGATCTGCTGGCAGTGCCCCTACTTATACAGCCCAAAATGCCGTTAGCCTCCTTGGCAACAAGGGCACACTGTTGACTCATATCCAGCTTCTCGTCCACTGTAACCCCTAGGTCCTTTTCTGCAGAACTGCTGCCGAGCCATTCGGTCCCTAGTCTGTAGCGGTGCATGGGATTCTTCCGTCCTAAGTGCAGGACCCTGCACTTGTCCTTGTTGAACCTCATCAGATTTCTTTTGGCCCAATCCTCCAATTTGTCTAGGGCCCTCTGTATCCTATCCCTACCCTCCAGCGTATCTACCTCTCCTCCCAGTTTAGTGTCATCTGCAAACTTGCTGAGGGTGCAATCCAAACCATCCTCCAGATCATTTATGAAGATATTGAACATTAATGAAGATATTGTCCCAGGACCGACCCTTGGGGCACTCCGCTTGATACCGGCTGCCAACTAGACATGGAGCCATTGATCACTACCCATTGAGCCCGATGATCTAGCCAGCTTTCTATCCACCTTATAGTCCATTCATCCAGCCCATACTTCTTTAACTTGCTGGCAAGAATACTGTGTGAGACCGTATCAAAAGCTTTGCTAAAGGCAAGGAATAACACATCCACTGCTTTCCCTTCATCCACAGAGCCAGTTATCTCATCAGAGAAGGCAATCAGGTTGGTCAGGCATGACTTGCCCTTGGTGAATCCATGCTGACTGTTCCTGATCACTTTCCTCTCCTCTAAGTGCTTCAGAATTGATTCCTTGAGGACCTGCTCCATGATTTTTCCAGGGACTGAGGTGAGGCTGACTGGCTTGTAGTTCCCTGGATCCTCCTTCTTCCCTTTTTTAAAGATGGGCGCTACATTAGCCTTTTTCCAGTCATCCAGGACCTCCCCCTTATATAAATCCATGGTACGCCCATATCTTGAATAGTGCATACAGATGTGGTCCCCTCATCTCAAAGAAGATATGCTGGCATTAGAAAAGGTTCTGAAAAGGGCAACTAAAATGATTAGGGGTTTGGAACCGGTCCCATAGGAGGAGAGATTAAAGAGGCTAGGACTTTTCAGCTTGGAAAAGAGGAGACTAAGGGGGGATGTGATAGAGGTCTATAAACTCATGAGTGGTATGGAGAAAGGGAATAAGGAAAAGTTATTTACTTGTTCCCATAATATAAGAACTAGGGGCCACCAAGTGAAATTAACGGGCAGCAGGCTTAAAACAAATAAAAAGAAGTTCTTCTTCACTCAGCGCACAATCAACCTGTGAAACTCCTTGCCTGAGGTTGTGAAGGCTAGGACTATAACAGGGTTTAAAAGAGAACTGGATAAATTCATGGAGGTTAAGTCCATTAATGGCTATTAGCCAGGATGGGTAAGGAATGGTGACCCTAGCCTCTGTTTGTCAGAGGGTGGAGATGGATGGCAGGAGAGAGATCACTTGATCATTACTTGTTAGGTTCACTCCCTCTGGGGCACCTGGTCTTGGCCACTGTCAGCAGACAGGATACTGGGCTGGATGGCCCTTTGGTCTGACCCAGTCTGGCCGTTCTTATGTTCTTATGCCTTTTACAGTTAGTCCCCATATGTGCACCAGGTATGTGCACCTGGTTTGGAGCAAGGTTACTCCCTGCCACCTCTCCAGACCAGGGACACCTATCCCCGGGACTGGCAGGGAACGAATAGGGCTGAGAACCCACCCCCGGCTCCTCTTGTGTATTCCTCCCTTTCACCCCCCTCCCCACCCAGCTAGCCCTTCTCCCACCCCTCCTCTGACTGGCAGCCCTATGGGGACCCCGATAGTGCAGAAGGGGGACGAGCTGCCTGGCTCTGGGTTTCTCTTTAATGGAGCAGAGAGATTCTCGGGGCTACACGGAGTTTGTTAAAATCGGCTTTAAAAGGACCGAATCCATTAATCCCAGAGGAAGGGCCCAGCCGGCCCGCATAGGACTTGGGGAATTGTTATTGTTTATATTCCCATAGCATTAAGAGGTCCCAGCCAGGATCACAGCCCACCATGCTAGGCGCTGTACATGTACATGGCAAGAGACAGTCCCAGCTGAAGAGCTCACAGTAAGAGATAAGACAAAGGAAGGACCATTACTCCCATTTCACAGATGGGGAACGGGGGCTCACACTGTTAAGTGATTTGGCTGCCATTACACATATACAGATGGGCTGAGTAGAATTTTCTTTACAAGGATCTGCAAAGTTCTGGCTTTTCCCCTGCTGCATTCCCATGGGAGCGGGATCCCCTTCTCCCCACCATCGGACTGGGCCTGTTGCCAGGAAGTGGTGGTTATCTGGCAGCCCCCACCAAGATTGAAAGTGCCACTCAGCGCTTTGGGGATACCAGGACAGCGTCTGGTATTTCAAAAGGTGTCAAGTTCAAAACTATTTTATCTGAGCATAAGCTTTCGTGAGCTACAGCTCACTTCATCGGATGTAGCTCACGAAAGCTTATGCTCAAATAAATTGGTTAGTCTCTAAGGTGCCACAAGTCCTCCTTTTCTTTTTGCGAATACAGACTAACACGGCTGTTACTCTGAAAAAAGTTCAAAACTGGTCAGAGGAAACAACTCTGTCCAACAAAGGGAATTAGACTGCGGAACTCATTGCCACAAGAAGCAATTGAGGTCAAGAACTTAGCAAGATTTTGTAAAGGGGCTGGATATATGTGTGGCTAACAAGAAGATCCAGAGTGATCATGCTAAGAAAAGCTCTGGGAGGGTTATTAAACTGCCCTCTCCAGGTCCTGACCTGGTCTCTTCCTATTATCCAACATCGGCTATTGCAGGCTTCTAACGCTTTCCTCTGGAGCAGCCAGGGCCAGCCGCTGCCCGAGACAGGATACCGGGCTAGTGGGACGTGGGACAGTCTGGCAACAGTCTGGCAATGCTTGCAATCCTGTGTCTGAGAATTCATCTGTGCATGTTTTAATCAGCCCATTAATCCTTTAAGGCACTCGATGAGTACCCAGATCAGGGCCCTGTGGCATTGGGTGCTGCACAGATGCAGCGTGACAGCCAGTCTCTGCCCCAAAGAGCTAACAGTCTAAATAGACAGTCTGTCCCGGGGGGTAGGAGCGGGGAAGGGACTGATCAGAGCGGTGGGCAGCAAATGGCATATTAGAGCAGCCAGCAGTTGGGGTTGTTTGATTTCCTTCGGGTTTTGTACTAGTTTTGGGTGGGGTGTTGCTGGCGGGGGATCAGGCCTGGATCCTGGAAAGTTTCGTAGAGACTCCAGCGGGGTTTGGTCCAGGCCCACAGTTAACAGAGGGTCAAAGGAAGGAGGAGGGGGCAAAGGAGGCGAGAGGGTGGGAAGCAGGGCCTGGAGGGCAGCTGGAGAGAGGCTGAGGTGAAGATCTAGGGAGGGGATGGGTGCGAACAGCTGCTCAGCAGAGGGGAAGGAAGTTCACTGGTGTTTCCCTTGGAAGGGGAACTGAAGAGAGAGGTTGGTGGCATGCCCTGCCCACACTGTCTGCATCCCTGTCCCTGCAGCTGGCACCGAATGGGGAGGAGGGATCGAAGGGGAACCGAGAGCAGCGCGCCAGGGCCCCCAGGCCGGTTGGCAGCCAGCGGGTCATGCCAGCAAAGGGAACCCTTGGCAGGGCTTCCCTTCACCCCCATGTCCGATCCCATTTGCCCCATGGCTGGTCCCTGAGCCCCATGCCCTGGACACCACGTTTCCTGGCTGCCAGGGGCTCCTAGCGGGGGGTTGGGGGGTGATGCTCCGGGCCAGGGGAGGCGGAGAGCCTCTTCCCAGACAGGGCCCATGGGTGGGAGTCCGGCCCCCAAACCCCGGGGCCCAGACTGCAGGGAAGGCCCCTGCCCTGGCCCCGAGGGGGTGGGCTGCAGGGGATTTCCCCTCCGGCTCTGAAGCCCCGGAGTCCCGGCTGTGCTGGCTCTGGTCTGCCGGGGGCTGTGGGGAGACGGGGAAGCAGCCGAGGAGCGCAGCGCCCAGCCTGGAGCGGGGAGAGCTGGGGGGAAAGGGACCCCAGCGGGCCGGGGGGCAGATGGGGCCCGGGGAATGGGGTGCGGGGGGGGAGCCCGGAGCTGTCCGGCAGGAAGAACCGACGGGAGGGGGCGCTCACCTGGCTCCGGGGGCGCCATGTGGGCTGGGGTCCGACGGTCCCGATCCGGGGAAAGCAGCCCCCCGCCGGCAGCTCGGCGCCCCTGGCCGGCCGGAGGAGCCGAGGAGGAAGTGCCCCAGGCTGGGAGGGAGACGAGCTTTGTACCTCTCCCCCCGCCCCCCCGCCAGCGCTGAGCTCAGGGACGCATCAGCATCGGGA